AAAGGATCAGGCAAGTTGTAGAGATATTGTGGTGTAATAGGCTCAGGAGTTTGCTTTAATTCTGTTGACTCTGGAAGAATTATTGAAGGCCTTTGGTTGTGCAAGCAATATGAGTACAATTCTATTTTAGGAATCTTAAACTGGCTGAAGTTGTAGGATGAATTAAATCCGGGAGAGATGGGAAGCAAGAAAACCAGTTTAGGAAACTATTGCGATGATCTAGGGGAGAAGTTCTGAGTCAGAAAAAGTGGCACTAGGGAAGGGAAAAACAGGAATTAACTGATTAAGACTTATTTACTGGTAGAATGGATCTATGTTTTGGATAAAAGATCCAGTAAGAGATAGAGATATTGAAGGTTCAAGTATAAAAAGAGATACTCAACTGAATGAAGTCACAGACACGAGCTTAGAAATCATCTTGTCCATGGTCACACAGACTGGCAAAGCTGAAACTCATCTCCTGACACCTGATTTAGTGAGTATCCATCACAGAATGTGAGGTACTTGAAGGTGATGAGTCAAGAGACTCAATGGTAGATGGAGTTAGTGTTGAAAGGTTGAAGGACTGCTTCTCTTCCATAAACTGGAATGAAGTACTAGTCTGGGGTCATCTGCCATTTTCCTCTTGCACAATTTTGCTTTCTTCCTTTTCCTTCTATTCTGTGCCAGGTTCCTATGCAGAAAAGAGTTAACATAACTGGCCCAAGACTTCTATGCTTAGAGAAGTCTGCTTACAAGATTAGCTCTTTTGTTTAACATCTTTATTGGAGTATAATTGCTTTACAATGGTGTGTTAGTTTCTGCTTTATAACAAAGTGAATCAGTTATACATATACATATACATATACATATACATATGTTCCCATCTTGGCTGGTCTCTGGGAACTTGGCTGGTAAACAGTACCCTACACTGATATAAAAGTTTCCCTAAGTGGTAAGAGTGACTCATTGTGCCTAGACTACCTGTACAAACAATGTGGTTTATGCTAAATACCTTATTTTCTTCTGGGAGTCGAGAAGTTTGGTACATGCTCAGCAGAGGGAGCCTGTGTACAGCAACCAATTTAATACCTAGGGCACTTAGTATCTAATGAGCTTCTCTGGTACACAGCACTTCATATGTGTTGTCATAACTTGTTGCTGGAGGAATTAAGTATTTGCTGTGTGACTGCACTAAGAGAGAACTCTTGGAAGCTTGAACCTAGCTTTTGCTGGACTTCATCCCATGCATCTTTTCCCTTTGCTGATTTTGCTTTGTATCCTTTCACAGAAATAAATCTTAACCATGTGTATGACTATATGTGGAGTCCTTTGAGTCCTCCTACAGAATTACTGAACCTGTGAGTTTTAGAAGCCCAGACACAGTCCAAACTTTATTCTTTTAGAGGCTTTTGCAATGAAAGCTTCTAGCGTGTCCTAGCAGTTTGGTGCTGTATCTAGATGTCCCTGGTGGTTTTCGTAATGAGCAAGAATGCAGCCTTTGTGTTTGTCTAATCAAAACAAAGCTGGGGGACCTTGGATCACTCACTTCTTTTTTAATATTGAGACTATTTTTAGAGCAGTTTTAGATTTAAAGAAAAATTGAATGATAAGTACAGAGAGTTCTCATATATTCTTAATCCCCTGCATACAGTTACCCCTATTATTAACATTTGCATTTATGAGATACATTTGATACAGTTGATGAGCCAATGCATTGCACATTCTATAGATTTTGATAAATGTATAATGACATGAATCCATCATTACACTATCATACAACATAGTTTCACTGCCCTAAAGATCCCTAGGCACCACCTATTCATCACTTCCTCATTCCATACCCCCGCTGACCCCTGGCAACCAGTGATCTCTTTATGGTTTCCATATTATTGCTTATTCCAGAATGTCATATAGTTGGAATTATATAGCATGTAGCCTTTTCAGATTGGCTCCTTTCACTTAGAAATGTGCATTTAAGGTTCTTCTGTGTCTTTTCACGGCTTGATAGCTCATTTCTTTTTAGCACTGAATAATATTTCATTGTGTGGATGTATTACAATTAGTTTACCTATTCACCTATCAAAGGACATCTTGGAATCCTCCAAATTTTGTCAACTACTGTTAAAGCCGCTATAAACATTTGTGTGCAGGTTTTGTGTATATAACTTTTCAAATAATTCAGTTAAATATCAAAGACCACAATTACTGAACTGCATGGTAAAAGTATATTTAGTTTTTTAAGAAACTGCCAAATTATCTTCCAAGGTGGCTGTACTAATTTTTTTATTTCTGCCATCAGTGAATGAGAGTTCTTCTCGCTCCACATCTTAGCCAGCATTTGATGTTTTCTGTTTCGGATTTTAGCCATTCTAGTAGGTGTGTAGTGATACCTCATTACTTTTATAATTTGCATTTTCTTAATGCCATGTGTTGCAGAATATCTTTTTATATGCCATCTGTAGATCTTCTTTGGTGAGGTGTCTGTTCAAATCTTTTGCCCGTTTTCAATTGGTTGTTTTCATATTATTGCATCTTAAAAGCTATTTGTATATTTTAGATACCTGTCCTTTATCAGATATATGTTTTACAAAGATTTTTTTTTCCAGTCTGTGGCTTGTCTTTTCACTCAACAGAATTTTTCACAGAGCAGAAGTTTGTAATTTTAGTGAAATTAAACTTATCAATATTCTCTTTCATGGATCATGCTTTTAGTGTTATATCTAAATCGTCATCACCAAATCCAAGGTCACCTAAAATTTCTCTTATGTTATTTTCTAGGAGTTTTATAGTTTTGTGTTTTACATTTACTTCTATAATCCATTTTGAGTTAACTATTATGAAAGGTGTAAGGTCTGTCTCTAGATTCTTTTTTTTTTTTTTTGGCATGGGGGTATACAGTTGTTCCAGCACCATTTTTTGAAAAGACTATCATTTCTCTATTGAATTTTCCTAGATCCTATGTCAAAGATCAGTTGAATATGTTTATGTGGATTTATTTTAGGCTCTCAATTCCATTCCATTGATCTATTTGTTTTTTTCTTTCACCAATACCATACTGTTCTGATTACTATAACTTACCAGTAATTTGAAGTCAGATAGTGTTAATATTTTGATTTGTTTTTCTCCCTCAGTATTGTGTTGGCTATTCTGGATATTTTTGCCTCTCCATATAAATTTTAGAATCACTTTGTTGATATCTAGAAAATAGCTTGCAGGGAGTTTGAATTGGACTACATTGAATCTATAGATCAAGTTGTGAAGAACAGACAAGTTGATAATATTGTCTTCCTATCTGTATACATGGAATATCTCTCCATTTATTTAGATCTTTGATTTATTTCATTAGAGTTTTATAGTATTCATCAATATATCTTGTACATATTTTTTTATTTATACCTAAATACTTCATTTTTTTTCTTCTAATGTAAATGATACTGTGTTTTAAATTTCAAATTCTGAATGTTCACTGTTAGCATATAAGAAAACAATTGACTTTTGTATATTAACCTTGTATCCTGAAATTGTGCTATAGTTCATTAATAGTTCCAAGAGATTTTTGTATATTCTTTAGGGTTTTCTACATACATAATTGTGTCATGTGCAAAAAGGGACAGTTTTATTTCTTCCTTCCCAATGTATATACCTTTTATTTCATTTTCTTGTCTTACTGCAATAGCTTGGAATTCCAATATGATTTTAATAGTTATTCCTAATCTTAGAGGCAAAGCATCTAGTGTCTCACCATTAGGTATGATGTTAGCTGCAGGATTATTGCAGATGTTCTTTATCAAGTTGAGGAAATTCCCATATATTCCTAGTTTGCTGAGAGTTTTTATCATGAATGAATGTGTGTTGGATTTTGTCAGATGCTTTTTCTACATCTCTTCGATCATATTATTTTTCTTCTTTAACCTCTTGATGTGATTACTTATATCAATTGATTTTTTTTTTTTCTTGCATTATGCGGGCCTCTCACTGTTGTGGCCTCTCCCATTTGCGGAGCACAGGCTCCGGACGCGCAGGCTCAGCGGCCACGGCTCACGGGCCCAGCTGCTCCGCGGCATGTGGGATCTTCCCGAAACGGGGCACGAACCCGCGTCTCCTGCATCAGCAGGCGGACTCTCAAGCACTGCGCCACCAGGGAAGCCCTATCAATTGATTTTTGAATGTTGAACCAGCCTTGCATTCCTGGAATAAATCCCACATGGTCCTGGTCTATAATTATTTTACACCTTGTTGCGTTTGATTTGCTAATATTTTGTTGAGAATATTTGCCTTGATGTTCATGAGAGAGATGGGTTGTACTTCTCCTGTATTGTAATATCTCTGTCTGGTTTTGATAACAGGGTCATGTTGGCCTTAGAGAATGAGTTAGGAAATATTCCCTCTGCTTCTATTTTCTGGAAGAGAGTGTAGAATTTAGTATCATTTCTTCCTTAAAATGTCAGGTAGAATTCACCAGTGAACCCAGCTGGGCCTAGTGCTTTGGTTTTTGGAAGGCTATTGATTATTGATTCAGTTCCTATGTGCTACTTTCACTGAATCCCACAAATATTAAATTGTATTTTCATTTTCATTTGAAAATACTTTTTAATTTTTCCTAAGGACTCCTCCTTGACCCATGTGTCATTTAGAAATGTGCTGATTAATCTCCAAGTATTTTGGTGCATTCCAGATATTTCTGGTTCTTGATTTCTGTGTAATTTAACTGTGATCTGAGAGAATACTTTGTATGATTCCTGTTCTTTTAAATTTGTTCAGATGTATGTCACAGAATGTGATTGATCTTGGTGATACTTTTGTGTTAGCTTGAAAATAAGCTGTTGTTGGATGAAGTGTTCTATAGATGTTGATTACATCTACTTGCTGATGGGGTGTTCACTTCAATTATGTCTTCACAAGCATACCTCAGAAATATTGTGGGTTTGGCTACAGACCACTGTAATAAAGTGAATATTGCAATATAGTGAGTCACATGAGTTTTTTGTTTACCAATGCATGTAAAAGTTATCTTTACATTATCCTGTAGACTGTTGAGTGAGCAATAGCATTATATTTTTTTAAATGTACATACCTTAATTTAAAAATATTTTATTGCTAAAAATTGCTAACTATCATCAGTCAATGCAGTGTTGCCATAAACCTTCAATCTGTAAAAAACACAATATTTTCAAAGCACAGTAAAATGAAGCACAATAAAATGAGGTATACCTGTACTGATTTTCTGCTTCTTGGATCTGTCAACTATTGGTAAAGGAATGGTGAAGTCTCCAACTCTTAATAGTAGACTCATCTATTTCTCCTTGCAGTTCTATCAGATTTTGGTGTTCTCTTTTTTGATGTTCTCTTATACATAATAAGGGTTGATATATATTCTTTCAGAATTGACCTATTTATTATTATGTTATGCCCCTTTTTTTTCCTGATAGCTTTCAATTCTCTGAAGTCTCCTTTTTTGGAAATTAATATAGCTACTCCAGCTTTCTTTTGATTTTTGTTGGCATGGAATATTTATTCATACCTTTACTCTGAAAAATGTTTAAATTTTTAAAATTTGTTTTTAATTGAAGTATGGTTGATTTACAATATTATATTAGTTTCTGGTGTACAACATAATGATTCAGAATTTTTAAAGTTCTACTCCATTTAAAGTCATTACAAAATAATAGCTATATTTCCCTGTGATGTACAGTATATCCTTGTTGCTTATTTATTTTATACATAGCAGTTTGTATCTCTTAATTCCATACCCCTATATTGCCCCTCCCCCTTTCCTGCTCCCCACTGGTAACCACTAGTTTGTTCTCTATATTAGTGAGTTTGTTTCTGTATTGTTATATACATCTGTTTATTTTATTTTTTAGATTACACATATAAATGATAACATAGAGTATTTGTCTTTCTCTGACTTATTTCACTAAGCATAAAACTGTCTAGGTCCATCGATGTTGTTGCAAATGGCAGAATTTCATTCTTTTATTTTATGGCTGAGTAATATTCCATTGTGTGTGTGTGTGTGTGTGTGTGTGTGTGTGTGTGTATCACATCTATTTTATTCTTTCTTCTTCTGTTGATGGACACTCAGTTTGCTTCTGTATCTTGATAGTTGTAAATAATGTTGTTATCAACATTGTGGTAGATGTATCTTTTTGAATTAGTGTTTTTGTTTTCATTAGGTATATACCCTGCAATAGAATTGCTGGATCATATGGTAGTGGCAGCCTTCGGTCCAGTGTGGAGCTGTGACTTCAGGCAAATGTTGGAGTCTTCTCTTGGTTCAGGCTGGTGTGTGCACCTAGGTAGTCACAGGAAACTAGTCAGTGAGACACACAGTTTCAATCGGCCCTTTCTGCCTTGCTTTAGGAGCAAGCAAGCATTCATGTTCTCCTCAGGAACAGAATCCAGGCTTTCTGCAGCCTTTCTGATAGTCCCACTGGTCCTCTGACCAGCTAAGGGGGCTCGTCTTCCCTTTGTTGAGCCCCAGGGCTGTGGGGCCCAATATGTGGCTTGAACCACTCACTCCCCAAAGAGAATCCCCACCAGTGTAATCTCCCTTTTCCTCTGAGTCCCCTCCCAGGGGCATGAGTCCTGATCTGATTTCTTCTTTTCCCTATCTACCAAGTTCTGTGTGTGTCTTTCTTATAGCCTTAGTTGTACAGAAGTTTTTATGCTAGTCTCCAGTTAGTTTTCAGTGAGAATTATAGATGTATTTTTGATGTGTTTATTGTGGGATGAACATACTCCTACTGTGCCATCTTGATTCAAGTCTCTTCATAACTTTACTTTTAATCTATCTTTGTCTTTTATATTTAAAGTGATGTCTTATACATAACATATAATTAACTCTTATTTTTTATGTGTCCTCACAGTCTCAGCCTTTTAATTGGTGTGTTTAAAGTGATTATTGATATAGTTGGATAGATGTCTACCATGTTTGTTACTGTTTTCTATTCATTGCCTCTGTTCTTTGTTCCTTTTTTTGTCTTCCATTCTTGTTCTGCATTCTCTTTTTTTCAATTGGAAATTGTAATATGATTCCATTTTTTGTCCTTTCTTAGCATATCAATTGTACTTTTAAAAAAAAAACTTTCTTCGAGGTTATCCTAGTGTTTTCAATATGCATTTACAGTTAAGCCATGTCTACTTTCAAATAACATTATTCTACTTCATTGGTAGTACAGGAACTTTATAACAGAGTATTTCCAATTTTTCCCTTGAGTCCCTGATAATATTGCTGTCATTCATTTCACTTTTTCATAATCTCTAATCACCAAATACATTGTTGCAATTATTATTTTGGACCAACTCTTATTTGTAAGATCAGTTAAGAATAAGAAAAATATAAGATTTTATTTTACCTTCATTCATTGCTTCTCTAGTGCTCTTATTTATGTTGGTACACATTTCTGACCTATATCATCTTCTTTCTTAAGAACTGTAACACTTCTTGGACTCAGAGTCTACTGGCAACTGAATCCTTCAGTTTTTGTGTTTTTTTTGAAATTGTTTAATTTTCCTTCACTTTTGGAGGATAATGTCACTGGATACAGAATTCTAAGTTTGTGATTTTTAAAAATTTCAACCCCTTGAACATTTTACTCTACTCTCCTCTTTTTGCATTTTTTTTTAAAAAAGAGAAGTCTTATCCTTACTCCTCTTTGAGTAAGGTATTTTTTTTCTCTTGCTTCTTTCAAGATTTACTCTGTGCCTTTTACTTTCTACACTTTCAATATGACATGCCTGCATGTAGATTTTTTGGTATTTATCCTATTATTCTCTGAACTTCCTCAATCTGTTGTTTGTAACTGTGTTTAACTTTAGAAGGTTTTCAGTCATCATTACTTTAAATATTTCTTCTGTTTCTCTCCTTCATTTCCTTCTGGCATTCCTAGTATGCATATCTTACACCTTTTATAATTGTCCAACATTTCTTGAATAATCTACTCTATCTTCTTTATTCCGTTTTGTCTACATTTCAGTTTTTGAAATTTCTATTGGCATGTATTCAGTTCACTGATTCTTTCCTTAGCCTTGCCCAGTCTGTTGGTGAGCCCATTAAAGGCATTCTTTATTTTTGCTAGTGTTTTTGATTGCTATCATTTCCCTTTGACTATTTCTTCAAATTTTCATGTCTGCTTATATTATCCATATGTTCTTTGTATTGTCCTCTTTTCCATAACAGCCTTTAGCTGTAATCCCTGGTTCTATGATTTCACCATCCACCATCTCTGCCTTCTTTGAGTCTGATTCTGATGCTGATTCTTCAGACTGTGTTTGTTGGTTTGTTTTTCCTTTTTGCATGCCTTGTAATATTTTGTTGAAAGCTGAACATGATGCCCTGGGTAAAAGGAACTGAGGTAAAAAGGCCGTTATTATGAGGTTTTATGCTTATCTGACTAGGATTTAGGCTGTGCTTAGTTTGCTATAGCTGTTCTTGTCAGAGGCCAAAATTTCCTCTGGTATCTTTGTTTTTTGTCTTCCCTATTGTCTTTGGATTTCTTTAGAGAGATATTCTTAAATAAGTTTTGATACTGGTTGTAGCAACAGGCTTCTGCTTCTGGGCTTCTGCTCTGGAAAGCTTGGATTCTCCATATTCAACTGTCTATCCAATTTTTGAGGCAGTGGTTTTTCCTCTGACTTCAATGCTCTGTTGGTTCTAAGAAGAGTTGTTGATTCTCAGTTTAGCTTTTCCTTGTATGAGGATGGGCACAATAACTTCCAAGCTTCTTACTTGTTAGGCCAGAAACTGGAAATCTTGCATCAGTTGCTTTTTCTATCTTGGCTTTTTGTTCCCTATCTGTAAAATAAAGGGATAAGTTCACTGCTTGGTGGCATAATTCTCCTCCAGCCCTAACATTCTGTTGAATCCATAAGCACTGACTTGCATGAATGACTATGCTGTTATGTGACATTTGTTACCCTTATTCTACAGGCAGACCTCCAGGTGGACAAGGAGAGACACAATTTCTTTGAGTCGTCCCTTGATTATGTTTATCAAATCCAGGAAGTTCAGGAGTCTAAGAAGTTCAATATTGTGGAGCCAGTAAGTTCTATCTGTTGATGAATGGTCTAAAAATATTTACCAAATCTCAGGTAAATGTGGAGAACTTTGATTATAACATTGGAGTCTCCAAGAATATGAAGGATAGTCAATGCTTAGTAATGAATGTCACAGAAGTAGACACACTGGCTTATGTTATTCTTGTTCTCTCACTAATATTCTCTCTCTCACTCTTCCTTTCCCTCCCCCACACTCCTTCCTCCCCCGTTTCTCTCTATAGCTATGATTTTTCTTTATCTTTCTTTTCCTCCTCTCCTTCCTTCCCTTCCTTGATTTCTCTGTCACCTTTCATTTTACCTTGTTCTCCTCCCTTCCTTTCTCTCATACTTTCATAAGGTTTCTGAATGTGCTCATCATATCCCAGACACTGTTCTAGGAACTCATGTTCCTTGCATTCAGTGACTTCCCATTCTACTATTTTTACTTCCATCTTTTGAAAAATTTTCTGACTAAATAGCCTTAATTTATTATAAAAGATGACGGGCTGTGGTTTGACAACTATGTTGAATTTTAACAACTTTCTTTTTTATTATAAAATAATGTAGAAAACAATGTAAAAAACAATTGCAGAAAAGCTATAAAAACTTATATGTAGAACAAAACAAATACAACAAATCTCCCATACAGAGATGATCACTGTTAATATTGTGGCATTTTTCCTCCTAAATTCCCTGTGTATCTGTTATATTCCTTTCTCTATCTATTGTGCATGTGTACTTGTAGATGTGTGTACACATGTGCATGTGTGTGTACACATATTGCACATGAATATGTATATATCTGTGTACATGTGTATCTGTGCTCACAGTTGTATATATCTGCATATGTATATGTGAAAACAAGTATTTATTAATTTATGCAATAAGCATTTATTGAGCTTCTGTTATGTGCTAGTCACAGTGCTAAACACTGGGTATCCTATAGTGAAAAAGACAGACTCAGTTTCTGTCTTTATGAAGACTATACTTTCATGGGGTAGACAGAAGGGAAAGAAGGATACACATAAATAAAATAACTATAAGTTGTGATAAGGACTAAAACAAAGAACAAGAACAGACAGCTACTTTAGATCAAGTGGTCAAGGGGCACCTCTGAAAATGTCATTTAAGATAAGATCTAAAGAAAGAGAAGATGAGGCAATGTGAATAATGGGGAAAGAACATTCCAGGCACAGAAAAACACATGTGCAAAGTTCTTAAGTTAGAAAAGAATGATGTGCTCAAGGAATGAAAAGATTAGTGCCTTTAGATACTGGTGAGAGAAAAGGAGAGTGGCAGGAAACAATATCTGAAAGGAAGGCATAGAATCTGTAAGCATGGTGAAGGGGTTAGATTTTAGTCTAAGTATAGTAGAAAAATCACTGATGGGTATTAAATAGGATATGACATGCTGATTTTGTTGTGTGGAGAAGGACTTGGAAGGGGGCAACAGTGAGATTGAGGAAACCAGTTAGGAGGCTACTGCAGTGGTCTAGGCAAGCAAAAATGTTGCTTTGGGTTCAGATGGTGGTAGTAGAAACATAAAAGAATGATTGGATTAGAGATATATTTTAGAAGCAAAACTGACAGAAATTACTGATTGATTAGATTGAGATGTGAGTGAAAGAAATCAGAATTCTTTACTTTCTGGCTTGATTGACTGAGTGGGTGGTGGTGTCATTTCCTGAGATGGGAAACCTTGGAGAGAAACAGGAAGAATGTCTATATAACTGTGTGTGTGATACACACACTCATATGCGTTTATATATATGTGTACATATATATGTACATATATATAACTGTATATGTATATATACACACACATGTGTATAATACATAAGTGTGTGCATAGTTTTTATATGTTTATGTATATATACATATATATAGTTTGTGTTTATGTACATATATACACACATATTTATGTGTTTGTATGTATATATGTGTGCGCATATTTATATGTACTCACCTGTTTACTTTCTAAAAAGAACAGAGCAGTTTTTACTACTTCCTATTACACTCTACTATTGCCAGCATTGAGCATTGCTTTTAAAATGTTTGTATTTGTTAGATGAAAATTGTATTTTCTTTTGTTTTTATTTGTGTATATTTGATTGTTATTGGAGTTGAACATTTTAAGCATTAAAAATATATTTTATTGATCATTTCTACGTCTTCTTCTGCAGTGTCCCAACCCCTCCCTGAAACATTTCTAACTTGAAAATTGGTTTTCAAAAAATATATATCCTTGGATCTTTTAGCATTATGACAGTCTTCATTATGCCATTTAGCCATTTTAATTTATTGAGTACCTATTCTGTGCCATTCCTGAGGATATAAAGACACAGTCTATTCCCACATTATGTCCATACTGTCCACATTATGAATGGTTTTATATGCTATCTGAAAAGGGTATTGATGAATAAATTTGGTAATAGTTCTTATTTTGTAGATCTGAGTCCAGTGTTAATGTTTAACCTAATGAAAGAATAGCTATGTGTAGACCTGTTTGTGTTTGTGTTACTGCTTTTAACACTATACTCCACTGTGTGGAGTTTCTTTTTGTGCATCTGTTTCCTTTATTTGATTAATGAGAAGGTGCTGGTGATAAAGTTATTTTTATACATTTTCCCTAGGTCTTGGCCTTTCTTCATAGCCTCTTCATTTCCAACAGCTTAACCGTGGAGCTCACACAGGATTTCCTCCCATATAAACAGCAACTCCAGCTCAGTTTACAGAATGTGAGTTTACATGTGGGTTTCTTCACCTGTCTCTGCATACCAATTGGATTTCAGCTCTAATATCTTGACCTTGGAGTTCTAGGTTATTACATTCCAGATAATTTGTCAGGACAGACTGGTATGGATCACAAATGTTTTAGTGTACTAGATTGTTCTTACTCTTCCAGTTTCAGCTCTTCCCTGTGTTTGAGGCTGACTGTTGTTCAAACCCACCCTTCTACCCACTGATGTGTCTATCTATCCAATATTTATTAAATGTTGCTAGTTTGCTATATCTCTCCCAGATCAGAACCCACCTATGGGCTTTTTTAAGCACAGGTCTTATGCTCCTTCCCTGCTAGTTAGTCAGGACACTCTCTTTGTAGGTTTTATTACCACAAATGCCCATTTTCCCCTCTTTTCCTTTTCTCACTACTTTTCTCATTACATTACTAGAGTTGAATAAATTATTTTTAAAGGTTGTCTCCACCTTCTTTCCCATGCTGTTTCTTTTTTTCTTTCTTTTCTTTTTGCCGTACGCAGACCTCTCACTGTTGTGGCCTCTCCCGTTGCGGAGCACAGGCTCCGGACGCACAGGCTCAGCGGCCATGGCTCACGGGCCCAGTTGCTCCGCGGCATGTGGGATCTTCCCGGACCGGGGCACGAACCCGTGTCCCCTGCATTGGCAGGCGGACTCAACCACTGCGCCACCAGGGAAGCCCATCCCATGCTGTTTCTTATAGATGGGCATAGGCACACCCTTCCCTTCCTTGTCACATATATTTTTTCTCAATTACTTATTTAACCCACATTTAACAAATACTTAGGTATATAATGAACATATACTCTGTGCCAGACATTGTAAAATGCACTGGACATACCATAATGAGGCATGTTAGTTTTTGCCTTCAAGGAATATATAGTCTCTTGGAGCCAAGAGATATAAACAGAGATATATCATGATTACTTATGAAAAGTGCTAAAATATAGTTAAGACCAAAAAAGTTAAAGCATAGAGAGTGGAATAATTGACTATCTGGTACAGTAAAAGAAGGCATCACTGAGATAGTAACTTTGGACTTGTTACATTGCATAAAATTTATAGTTGTATTTTTAGATGGAAACGGTAAGTTGCAGTGGAAATAAACTTTACTTGGTTGTTTAGGAGCATGCTGATTTACAGGTATTGTTCTTAGTGTTGTTTTTCTTTCTGGGTACTGTCTTTCACTAGAATGTGAGCGCCCCTCTCTTCTGCTGATTTACAAAATATTCCTACAACCAGGAATATTTAGTTGTGTACTTTTAAATATATTACTTCTTAACATTAGCTTTTGCTATTCATGGGCATGAAAACATAGGTTTTCTGTTAACCTATGTTCAAAGAGAGCACCCTGTCATATCCTTTATTCTAATGGCCTGGATTTGATTCAGAGTCAGGTAGGCAGTAGCTTTACTTGAGGCAGAATGTAGAAGTTGCCGTGATAATATTATCTTTGGGAACCTTCTCTATAGCCTCCCTTTTTGTAAGGCAGGGGTCAGTCTGATGCTCAGAATTCTTAGAGCCTTTATTTATTGGAGGCTTTTGTCATTTCCATTAGAAAATGTCTCCCCGATGTAGTTTTATGGGTACATTGGTATTTATGTTTCCCTCTCCCGTTTAGACTTTAGTACTGTTAAACTCCACTAAACTGTTTTCTAATTACTATGCCATTCAACATTTGTTTTTTTGCTATGTTGTAGCACATGGTGAAAGCCAAGAAAACTCTGCACTGGGTCTCTGACCAGTGAATGCTTATTCATGATGATGGTGATGATGATAATGATTATGATGATAATGTCTTACAGACAAGAAATCATTTCTCCAGTACCCGAGAAGAGATGGAAGAACTTAAGAAAAGGATGAAAGAAGCTCCACAGACATGCAAACTTCCAGGACAGCCAACCATCGAAGGCTATCTCTATACACAAGAGAAATGTGTGTGGGAATACAGGGATAGCTACTGGGTTTCAGTAGGCTGACACCAGCTGCCACTTGGCTTCTCCAAACTCCAGGCACCCATATAGTTCATAGACCCCTGCCAGCTATACCTATTTGGAGAGTAGTGTGGGAATAGAGAAAATAAAAAGGAGGGAGAAATTGGAGGAGGAGGTTAAGGATTTGTCTTACAAAGTCTGTGGGATGATAAGACCTAAGGTTTTCTCTGAGATTCAAAATGGGGGTTGTTAATTGCTTAATCCTTTCAATGACTCTTTGGGGCTAAAAGGGAGGTAGGAGAAAGGAGACATAAAATAATACTTATTATACCTACTATGTTCCAGGCATGGTGTTAAGTGCTTTAAATATACTACCTCATGTAATCTTTGAAACCACCTTATCATACCCATTTTACACATGAAGCCTCTGAGGCTTAGAGAGATCACTAGTTGAAAGTCACCCAAGTATCATGTATCAGGGCTAAGTGTAAATTCAGGTTTGTGAAATGCCAAAACCTATGCTCCTACAGCTATACCCTATACCTTCCACTGCCTTAGGATCATAAACTTGCCCTTAAAGCACTACACAACCATTGCGATTTCAGTGAGCAACACAGTTGTTCATTGCTAACCAAGGAAAATGGGTTAACTTATCTGGTCACTGAATATTGCAGAGAGTTCAAGCTTTTCTACCTCCTAAATAACATTATGTAAACCTGTATGTGCTATTTGATTTTCCTTTTGAACTATGACCCAATGTTCCCAAAGCCTGTGATTTCATTCCCTGACCAGAATTATTCTACCTGGTGAGTAGGCAAATGAGAATACCCAGAGGTTACCAGTGGCAAAACCCACTGAAATCCACAAAACATGGTATTTCAGCAGTGATATTATCATGCTTTTCATCCCTTAGCGCAACTCACTTTGATGGTTTTCAAAGATGTGTTCTTCTATTTGTCAGGTTCATCTCTTCAACTCTCCATTGCAGGATCTCTCAGTCTCAGTGGTATTAACATTTCAGGCTGGCTAATTCTTTGTTTCAAGCAGTTATCCTATGCATTTTAAGGTGTTTAGAAGCATCTATAGCCTCTCCCCACTTTATTCTAATAGCACTTCCCAGGTGTGATAACCAAAAATGTCTCTAGGCATTGCCAAATGTCCCCTGGGAGGCAAAATTGCCCCTACTTGAGAACCACTGCTATATTATAAGAGAGGCTCAGAGTAATGAGTATGTAATCTTGGCTCTAATATCAACTAACTATGTGATCCTTCTATGCCCCAGTTTTCTAATTTGTTAAATGGATATGACATTCCTACTCAGTTGAATGTACGCTTACTAAGAATCCTTTTTGCCAGACAATATGCAATGTATTGGGGATACAAAAAAATGGATCAAGCTTGGTTTTTGTCCTCAAGAAGTTCACAGTCTGATTAAGACACAAGTATATAAAGAACTATAATGAAATGTGTTGAGCACTGCATTTGGAGCATATATCTAAGGGCTTCACTGAGGAAGTGATATATGAACTGAAACTTGAATTATGACTGGGAGTTTGACAGGTAAAGGAAATGGCAAAGAAAATTCCAGGTGTGTACCACTGCATTAGTAAAGGCACAGAGGTGTGTGAGGTTATAGTTTGTTTGTAGGGTCTTAGTTTTCCAAGGACAGTCTGGTTTATACTTGTTGTCCTGATATAATTAATGATAGTGCCCTATTCACTCTTAAATATGTCTTGAACTTGGTCTATATATTATATTGCCACCTATTTTTTTGGTAACTGAATATAATTCCATGAGACAAGAGCATAGAGGTGAGGGTGGCAAAAGACAAAGTTGGAAAGGTAAATCCGATCACATTGTAAAAGGCTTTGTGAGCCAACCTAAGGAGTTTGGAGAGAGTGGGAAAGCCATGGGTGGTTTATAATAAAAAGAATTATATAAATAAACCTATAATTAAAAAAATATTTCTCTAGCAAAAGAGTAGAGAATGGGCTAGAAAGGAGTGATCACAGATAGGGGAAACCAAAGAGAAGGCCACTGAAAGAATTAATTGGAGAAATAGTGAATTTTTGTTTTGTTTGAAATAGCTCATAAAACATTTCTTTTTTAAAGTCAGAAATAGGGTCCTGAATGAATTCAGTTCTGAAAGGGGTGAAAGGAGAGACATGTAGGGGATAGAAGGGCTGGTTACAGGGAAGGAGGAGCAGAAGATTACAGATGTTTCCAGATCATACAATAGGATGTATAATGGGAGCATTCACAGGGAACATGGCAAGGAGAGTGGTTTGGAGCAAGCCAGAGCAGATGTGGAAAGCAGTTGATGATGATTAGGTTATCCATCTGTGTAGTGGGCAGGTGGTACTGCACGTCTGGAGCTCAGGGGAAAAGTAGCACTAGATCTGGATCGTGACCATGAAGAATAATCTGTACACAGCTTCTGTCTTAGGGGTGGACTGACCATGCAGCCAAAATACTTATTCTATCAGCTCACTGTTGCCTATCTTTGTAGGGGCTTTGGGAATATCCTGGGTGAAATACTACTGCCAATATGAGAAAGAGACCAAAACGCTCACCATGACACCTATGGAGCAGAAGCCAGGTGCTAAGCAGCAGGTCAGTTCTTTCATGGGCCACATTTTTTTGAAATACATCTGTGACTGCATTTCAGAAAAGAGTATATGTTGACTTCGTGTCAGAGAATCAAGTCCACCACTGTCGTGTGAAGCCATGACTTCATATGTTCTCTGTGGCCTAAGTTTGCATTGGGCCAGATACTACTCAGTTGAGTGAAAAATCTCTGTTAATGATTCTAGGCCTTCTGAAAGTGCCTGTACTCTTTTAGATCATTATTACAAGAGTCTATCACATTGTACAAACAAAATTTGCAAAAAAATATGGATAAATTGGAGGAGAGTATTACTTGCTTTTAAGAAGGCTCTACTATAGGATTCCTTTAAATAGTTAAGACTTTAAAATACAAAACATTTTCCAAAATTCCTTTTTTAAAGGAGTATTCTGTTGCCTAAAGTTGGAATAATCTATACCCCACATTGTATGTAATGCTCAAATATCTTTAAGCAGTTAGTGCATCTTCTTCTGCCCTCCAAACTTTCCCCTACTCCCCAAAATGAGAAGATGAGTTTAACACACTGAGAAGATAGTTCACTAACCTGGAGGAACCTGATTTTATATATATATGTTATATTATGTTATACATTATATATTATTTTTTATGTATGACCACCCAGCTAAAAAAATTATTCTGTTATCTCACTTTTGCCTATCTTGGTAGGGGCTTTGGGAACACATGCACACACACACACACACACACACACACACACACACACATGCACACACGTACACACACCTGAAGTTTTCTTAAGATAAAAGCTGATAGACTGACTCTTCATATTCTAAAAGTAGTTCAGTGTGTCCCTTTAACTGTTTCTCAGACAGGGTCTTAGGGCATAATTTTTAAGGATTTCCCTTATTTACAAATTGTTTATAAAGTGAAAAAAAGGTTTACTTGTTAGCACTGAAAGTTGTGGTGCATGAAGACCCAATTTTGATAGGCAGAAATTTGGAGACTTTTTCTCCATTGCTGGTGCTTTCCATGGAAGATCTCTCTTATGTGGCTTATTCATAGGAAATTAGTGATGATTGAGATTTGGTGGCAGACTGTTGAAAAACTGCTTTTCTTTTTTGTCATTAACCACAAGTTTTGCCACTCTGCTTTGAATGTGGATTAGACATGGGACGCACCTCTAACAGAGCATACCATATTGGGTCTCCACAACCCTCATCCATATTTCTGTGCAGGCCAGTTATTCATCCATGAATCCAAAACTCCTTAGTTTCCAGTCTGCCAATTGCCAAAGAACCTTTCAACGTGGTTCCAATAAATTGTGCTGTAGCACAAAATTTGTCCCATTTCTGTCAGTACTTAGCTTATGTATCTGACTGGCAAGTGCTTTTAAGTAACACTGTCCTGTAGTCTCTCTTTCCTTTTTCTACACACATTACTTTCCAAACTTTGGACTTCAAAGTTCCTTTCTTAGGCAGGTCCTACTGCAAAGCTGAGGCCAGAGGCAGCAGATACCACTTTCATAGGTTCTTAGCAGATGAGAGCAAGCCCTTCTTTTAGTTACTCTTTCTCCCTGCCCTTTTAATTGAGTGGCTACTTGCAAAACTGCAGTAAGTGTCAGCCTAAGCAATTTAGATATGGGACTCTTTATGGAATGGAAAGAGGAACTTGCTTGTCCATTTACAGCAAAGGGGAGGTGGAAGTAGTTACTTTAATTTCCATAAACTGAATTGGAAATGGTTTCTTCTTATCATTTCTCTCAGTTCCTTTTACTAGTTTCTGTTTTAGAAAGGTAAATAATACAAATAAGTGAGACTATAATAATGATAACACCATAAAAGCCACTATTTATTCAATGTTTGCTGTGCACCAGGCTCTGAGCTAGACATTTGCTGCCATGTGCCTCATTTACTTTCTCAGCAGCACTGTGAAGTATCATTAGCCCAATTTGGAGTTGGAAGAATTAGCTCTCTTTCTGACTGTGGTACTTACAAGTGTACTCTAGTAGTTCAGCCTATCAACTTCCATTTCGGTTGTACTGCTTACTTTACAGAGCACAATCCCAAATACTATTTTATAAGATTCTCATCCCTTCCCTTTCAGGTAATTGTAAGAGGCAAGAGAGCTACATTTTGAATCACAATAACTAGTTTTACCTATTTATTCATTTACTTATTCATTCATTCATTCTTCATATCAAATATTTTTCCTTTCCAGTTATACTGAGATATAACTGACATACAGCACTGTATGAGTTTAAGGTGTACAGCATAATGATCTGACTTACGTACAATATGAAAGTATTATCGCAATGAGTTTAGTGAACACCCATTGTCTTATACAGGTACAAAATTAACGAAAATTTTTTTTTCTTGTGATTAGTACTCTTAGGATTTACTCTCTTTACAATTTTCATATATAACATACAGAAGTGTTAATTATATTAATCATGTTATACATAACATCCCCAGTATTTACTTATCTTACGATGGGAAATTAGTACCTTTAGATGCCTTCGTCCAATTCCCTATTCCCCCAGCTTCCACCTCTGGTAAGCACAAATCCGATCTCTGTTTTCTATGAGTTACTTTGTTTCTTTGTTTTTTTTTCAAGTATAATTGACCTGTAACACAATGTTAGTTCCTGATGAACAACATAGTCATTCGGGATTTCTATGTATTATAAAAGGATCACCATGATAAGTCTAGTTATGATCTGTCACCATATAAAGATAGTACATAATTATTGATTATATTCTCCACACTGTACATTTCATACCTGTGATTCATTTATTTTGTAACTGGAAATTTATACCTCTTAACCTTTCTCACCTATTTTTCACATCCTGCCCCCCACTTTCCCTCTGGCAACCACCTGTTTGTTCTCTGTACCTATGATTCTATTTCTGTTTCATTATGTTGGTTCATTTGTTTTGTTTTTTAGATTTAACATATAAGTGAAATCATATGGTATTTGTCTTTCTCTGTCTGACTTGTTTCACTTAGCACAATACTCTCGAGGTCCATCCATGTTGACACAAATGGCAAGATTTCATTCCCTTGTATGGCTGAGTAATATTCCATGGTTTTTATATGCCACATGTTTTTTAATCCATTTATCTACTCGTGTGCACTTAGATTGCTTCCATATCTTGGCTATTGTAAGTAATGCTCAACGTAGGGGTGCATATATCTTTTCTAATTAGTGTGTTTGTTTTCTTCTGACAAATACCCAGGAGTGGAATTGCTGGATCATATGGAAGCTCTATGTTTAAATTTTTGAGGAATCTCCATACTGTTTCCCACAGTCGCTGCACCAATTTACATTCCCACCAAGAGTGTACTAGGGTTTCCTTTCCTCTACATCCTCACCAATATTTGTTATTTGTGGTATTTTTGATGATAGCCATTCAGTCAGATGTGAGGTGACATCTTATTGTGGTTTTGATTTGCATTTCCCCAATGATTGGCGATGCTAAGCATCTTTTAATGTTCCTGTTGGCCATTTGTCTGTCTTCTTTCAAAATATTCAGGCCCTCTGTCTATTATTTGAATTTTTTTTTTTAATTTTGAGTTTTATGAGTTCTCTGTATATTTTGGATATTAACCCTTTATCAGATATATCATTTACAAATATTGTCTCCCATTCAGTAGGTGGCCTTTTCATTTTGTTTAGAGTTTCCTTCACTGTGCAAAAGCTTTTTAGGTTGAAGAAGTCCCATTTGTTTATTTTTGCTGTTGTTGCCCTTGCCTGAGAAGACAGATCCAATAAAATATTGCTAAGCCTGATGTCACAGAGAGAACTGCCTATGTTTTCTTCTAGGAGTTTTATGCTTTCAAATCCTATACTTAAGTCTTTAATTCATTTTGAGTTTATTTTTGTATATGATGTGAGAAAGTAGTCCAGTCTCATTCTTTTGCATGTAGCTGTCTAGTTTCCCAACATCATTTATTGAAGAGACTGTCTTTTCCCCATTGTATATTCTTGCATCCTTTGTCATAGATTAATGGACTACATAAGTGTCGGTTCATTATTGGTCTCTCTGTTCTGTTGCATTGATTTATGTGTCTGTTTTTGTGCCAGAGCAATAATGTTTTGATTACTGTATCTTTGTAGTATAGTTTGAAATCAGGGAGCATGTTAACTTCAGCTTTGTTCAACCTTCTCAAGATTGTTTTGGCTACTCAGGGTTTATGCATTTACATACAGATATTAGAATTACTTGTTCTAGTTCTGTGAAAAATGCCATTGCTAGTTTTATAGTGATTACATAGAATCTGTAGATTACCTTGGGTAGTACGGTCATTTTAACAATATTAATTCTTCTAATCCACAAGCATGGAGTATCTTTACATTTGTTTGTATCATCTTCAGTTTGTTTCATTGACATCTTATAGTTTTCTGAGTATAGGCATTTTACCTCCTTAGATTATTCCTAGGTATTTTATTTTTTTATGAGATTATAAATGGGATTATTTTATTAATTTCTCTTTCTGATAGTTTGTTGTCAGTGTGTACAAATGCCACAAATTTCTGTATATTAATTTTGTATCCTGCAACTTTACTGAATTCTTCAATGAGTTCTAATAGTTTTTTGGTAGCATCTTTAGGATTTTGTATATGTGGTATCATGTCATCTGCAAACATTGACACTTTTACTTCTTCCTTTCCAATTAGGATTTGGTTTTTCTTTTTTTTCTTGTCTGATTGTTGTGGCCTGCAATGCCAATACTATGTTCATTAAAACTGGTAAGAGTGGGTATCCTTGTTTTGTTTCTGGTCGTAGAGGAAATGCTTTCAGCTTTGCACCATTGACTATGATTTTAGCTGTGGGCTCATCATATTTGACCTTTATTACGTTGAGGAATGTTCCCTGTATATCAATTTTGTTAAGAATTTTTTATCATAATGGATGTTGCATTTTGTCGAAAGCTCTTTCTGCATCTCTTGAGATGATCATATGATTTTTTAGTCTTCAGTTTATTAAGTGGTGTATCACATTGATTTGTGGATATTGAACCATCCTTGCATCCCTGGGATAAATCCCAGTTGATTATGGTGTATGATCCTTTTAATGTACTGTTGAATTGGCTTTCCTAAAGTTTTGTTGAGGATTTTTTTCATGTATGTTCATCAGTGATATTGGCCTGTAATTTTCTGTTTTTGTGGTGTCTTTGTCTAATTTTGATATCAAGGTGATGCAGGCCTTAAAATGAATTCAGAAGTGTATTGCCACTATAATTTTTTGAAATAGTTTGAGAGGAATAGGTGTTAGTCTTCTTTAAATGTTTGGTAGAATTCACCTGTGAAGCCATCTGGTTCTGTACTTTTGTGTGTTGGGAGTATTTCTTTTAATTACTCATTCAGTTTCATTACTGGTAATTGGTCTGTTTGTATTTTCTATTTCTTCTTGATTCAGCTTTGGAAGGTTGTACATTTATCTCTAGGAATTTCTCTTAGGTTGTCCATTTTATTGGTGTTTGTTTGATCATAGTAATCACTTATGATCCTTGGTATTTCTGTGTTGTTGGTTGTAGTTGTAACTTCTTTTTTATTTCTGATTTTATTGATTTGGGCCCTCTCTCTTTTTTCTCGATGACTCTGGGTAAAGATTTATCAATTTTGTTTATGTTTTCAACCATCTCTTACTCTATCTTTTCTATTTTTTGTTTTTTAGTCTCTATTTCATTTATTTCTGCTCTGATCTTATGATTTATTTTCTTGTAGTGACACTGGCTTTTGTTTGTTCTTCTTCTAGTTACTTTATGTGTAAGGTTACATTGTTTATTTGAGATTTTTCTTGTTTCCTGAGATAGGCTTGTATTGGTGTAACATTCACTTTTAGAATTGCTTTTGTTGCATTCCACAAATTTTGGATTGTTTTGTTTTCATTTTCATTTGTCTCCAAGTATTTTTGATTTCCTCTGTGATTTCTTCAGTGATCCTTTGGTTATTTGGTAACAGTGTTTATCCTCTACATGTTTATAGGATTTTTTGCAGTTTTTTTCTTGTAGTTGATTTATAGTCATAGTGTTGTGGTTAGAAAAGATACTTGATATGATTTCTATCTCCTTAAATTTACTGACACTTGTTTTGCATCCTAGCTTGTGATCTATCCTGGAGAGTGTTATGTGCACTTGAAAAGAATGTATATTCTGCAGCTAGCTTTTGAATAGAATGTCTTATATATAAAAAGAGGCCCCTCTTTTGGTGGGGCCTACTATTATGGGCAAACTGGTGGGCAACCCCCTGTGGTTGGTTGCCAGGCCCTGCCTACTGCTGAAGCTACCACCTGCTGGTGGGCTGGTCTGCATTCCATTGCAGTTGGCTGTGGGGCCCAGGGAGTCCTGGAACTGGTTATTTCCCCATGGTAGTTTAGGCTGTGTCCTGGTCCTTACCCACTGGTGGGCTTGGCCAGGTCACTGGTTGGCTTCTTGTGAAGCCCAAAGGAAGGGTCCCAGAGAAGGTGTCAAGCTGCTGCTGGGTCAAGCTGGGGTCTAAGGACTGGTGTCAGCCTGCTGTTTGGTGGGGCTGGATCCTGGGTAAGCTGGCTGTGGGGCACAGTAAGTCTCAAAGCTGGTTTCAGCACACTGCTGGGCAGTGTTGGAGCCCAGTGTATCCTGGGGCTGTTGCCTGCCTGCTACAGAGTAAGGCCAGTGTCTGGAGCTTTTGCCCACTTACTGGTGAGCAGGGCTGAGCCCTGTGCTCTCTGTTAGATGACACTGGGTCCTGGAATGGCTGGGTAGTCCAGGGGGACCTATTGCTGCTGCTAGCCTGATGGTAGATGGGGCTGTATCCCTCTGTGGCTGGCCTAGCATGTCCTAGGACTTTTTCCAGCTACCTGGTGGGTGGGACCAGGTCTGACATTAATAAGCTACAAGGGGAACTCCAAAATGGTGCTCCTCAAAATGGCTGCCACCAGTGTCTATGTCCCTAGGGTGAGTTCCAGTTGTCTCCTGTCTCTCTGGGTGGGTCTCTAATACCAGCAGGTTGATTTGACCCAGGCCCCTTTCAAATTACTGCTTTTGTCCTGGTTTTCAGAGTAGGTGAGATTTTGTGTGCACCCTTTAAGAATAGAGTGTCTATTTCCTACAGCCCTCTGGCCCTCCTGAAAGGAAGCCCTGGCTTTCAAAGCCAGATGTTCTGAGGCCTTTTCTTCCCAGGTCAGGACCCCCTGACTAGGAATCCCATATGGGGGTCAGTTTATCCCTTGCCCCTTAGGGATAAACTCTGCAATTGCAATTATCTCCTGTTTGTGGATCATGTACCCAGGGGTGTGCACCTTGACTATACCATGTCTGTGCCCCTCCTACCTGTCTAGTTGTGGTTCCTTCCTTATACCTTTAGCTGTAGATCTTTTCTGCTAGTCTTCAGGTGATTCTCATCATTGATCATTGCTCCATAAATAGTTGTAATATTGGTGTGCACATGGGAGGAAGTGAGCTAAGGCTCGTCCTACTCCACCTCTTGGACACTCTTGTCTCAAAAACTAGTCTTAAGTCCTAGTTCTGTGGCCTAGTAAATTGTGATCTTGAGTAAGTTACTTAATGTTGCTCAGTATCATTTTTCTCAGAAAAAATGGCAAGGATGGTAATGTAGTTTATATTTATTGAGCACTAACTCTTTACTAGGTACTAGAGATATAAAGATCAATAAGACACTGCCCACATCCTTGAGGAGATCTCAGTCAAGTGGGGAAATCAGACATGAAAAAAAGAAGCTTTAATACAATGCAGAAAACACATAGCAGACAGTATATGGTATTGGGGAAGGATTTTTGAGGAAATGAAAGCTGAACTACAAGTTGCAGAACAAGTTAAGAGTTTAGTCAGTCCAAGAATATAGATAAAGTCACTTTGGGTGGAGGAAACAGTATATGCAAAGTTGGAGTCATGAAAGAGCATGATACATGTGTGAAATAAGAGTACTTTTGCACTGATGGGACATAAACTAGATGATGGTGGCTGGAGGTGAACCTGGAGTCGGGGGGCAGGGTGTTGTCCCCCAAGCTTTGACATCACCTCACCAAATCTGAAGGAGTTGAGAGTTTAAAGAAGGAGGGTGAGTACATGATACTGTTAATTACGCTCATCTTGCAAGGCTAACAGTGCTTGATATCCTAAGTGTTGGGGTTGGGAAGGCAGATTGAAAGGTGAATATAGAGTTTTGTTTCTATAGTGCAGGAACAGGTAAGAGGATAGACCTGCAAAGGGCTTGAGTGTGACAATGAGAGGGAAGTACTGGATGATCAGCTGTATGGACCAGTTTGGATGGTATAGTGCTTAGGCAGTATTTCTGAATTCGAGACAGCAAGGTGGGTAGTATTATTCCTATTTAATAGGTTGTGAAGTTTATATTCAGAGAGGAAGAATATTTACCCTGGGCCACATAGCTAGTAAATGGCATAACTGAGACAAGACCCAAGGTTTTAAACTTCTTAGTTTATTGCTATTTCTGCTATATCGACCTGGGTGACTTCGGGTAAGCCGTTTTACCTCTCTGTGGTTCACTTCCCTCTGAGTGTTGTTATGAAGAAAAGTGCTTTAAAAATACCTAGCATAATATGTGGCACATAGTAGGTGATCCATACACATTACTTCTCTTTCCTATACCCCACTGTCTCTGTTGAGATAATAGAAGGGAACTGAACTGTGTTGGGTTTTGGGGAATTTTAATATGTGGACACAGTGGATTTCTATGGCCTTGTTACATGACCACAAGACAGATGGGCCACACTATCCTGTACATATGAAATACCAAATGCCACCTTGACTATTACACAAATATGCCTATTTTCCCTACTCCTGCCCTATCTTTGGATATATTGCTTTTGTAATTCCCATCATCTTAAAGACTCTGGCAGTGGGGAACCAAAAATGTTTTTCTTCCCCTCTTCTATCTGCCACTTTAATGCAAGGAAGATGCAGAAAGCCACTTACTCATTGCAAACTCCCTACCTAGAAGCCTCACCAAATTTTATTTTGTACAGTTAATGGCATTTGGGCAGCCCATTCCTCCTGAATTCCCCTTTACATGTTGTATAATGAGTTTCCTATTTAATATATCATGCTTGGAAAAGAGCAAGGGCTTATCCTGAGCATTTTCTCCTGAACTCAGCCATTGATTTTTGGAGCAGAGAGAAACCATCTGCCACCTTGCTGCAACTACCATTTGAGGGGACAAGGTTCTCAGTGAGGCTAAACATTGTTCCCGCTGCCCTGAGAGATGCCTTCCAAGTGACACTGAGGATGCTGCAGTAGGCAGAAGAAGCTTCTATGTATTTTTTTTCAAGCTGGCTATTAATCCTTTTCTTATATCAGGGACCCTTGGACTTAACCCTGAAGTACTGCGTGAGAAGGAAGACGGAGTCTATCGACAAGAGATTCTGTTTTGATATAGAAACTAATGAAAGGTAAGCTGTGCTGATATGAATCGACAATGTCCTCATGTGCCAGATACTGAGCCTGGGTAGGTATTTTATTTTCCTCTGTCATCTCTCGTTGATAAAAATGAGCAAAATTATTCATGACATCAATGTTTGGCTCTTCTGGCTGCCCTTTCAGGGATCCCTGTTAGAGCTGGCCCAGAGCTAATTCTCTCTATTCAAGGTTCAGTCAGCTTTGCCTCACTTGCTTTAGGCAGAAGAAGTTACTCCTAGGATTTAATTTGCTATTATATATGCAAAAGGTCAACATTTGGTGATGCTACAAAAGGACAGGGTAACAAAACTCATTCTTTTTTATTTCCTAATATACAAGAACAAATGAATTGGAACACATATTTAAGGGGAGGTAGATTGGATGGAGTGTGGTAGCGGTATTGGGGAGTCTTTTTTCCCCATTTGGTACAAATATGATACAGATTTTCCTACTTTGCAGATATTTATGTAAAGTGGAAATAGTTTGATTATCAACTTTCTGATTTCAGCAAAAGCTTGCAAACTTTGGACTTCGTTGCATTTGTTTCTCTCCAGTGCCCTCTTTTTGTTTTTTCAACCACGGCGATTTTATCAGAGGGAAATTTAACTGTTAAATTTTAAAATGAGAACATTTGGAGTTACTTTGGAAAAAGGCATGTTATATAGTTGGGAGGTTGATCCAAAATTCAGTGAGTAAATGTGTTTATTTTATTTCAGTCCATTATTTCCATGTATTAGGCACTAAGTAATACAGTAGAATTTAACAAAATGATCAGATTGCTAGAAAGGAACTTGAAGGTTGAATTACAATATCATATGAACAAAACTTTTAGTGACTGGAATCATATAGATCAGATTAAGAAAATAAGGCATTTTTTTGTCTGGGAATAAATAACTATTAGTCCATTTCCCCATTTTAAATTTCTGTTTGTGGAAGGATAAGCTGGGACGAAGTTGAGAGAGTGGCATGGACATATATACACTACCAAATGTAAAATAGATAGCTAGTGGGAAGCAGCCATATAGCACAGGGAGATCAGCTCAGTGCTTTGTGACCACCTAGAGGGGTGGGATAGGGAGGGTGGGAGGGAGATGCAAGAGGGAGGGGATATGGGGATATATGTATATGTATATCTGATTCACTTTGTTACACAGCAGAAACTAACACAACATTGTAAAGCAACTATACTCCAATAAAGATGTTAAAAAAAAATTCTGTTTGTGAGTCTATATGCGTTCTTTGTTAAGCATGGATGGTCCTGGACTTCCCTGGTGGCACAGTGGTTAAGAATCTACCTGCCAATGCAGGGGACACGGGTTCAAGCCCCGGTCCAGGAAGAGCCCACATGCCACGGAACAACTAAGCCCGTGTGCTACAACTCCTCAACCTGCGTACCACAGCTACTGAAGCCCGTGTCCCTAGAGCCCCTGTTCCACAACAAGAGAAACCACCACAATGAGAAGCCCACGCACTGCAACAAAGCACAGCCCCCGCTCGCCACAACTAGAGAAAGCCCACGTGCAGCAACAAAGACCCAACACAGCCAAACAAAAATGGATGGTCTCAATCAAAGATGGCTGTAATTGTAAACATTGTTACTGATAACCATAAGGCTGTCACTCATTTCCTCCACAGCTTCAGGCCCAGTAGGAAGGGGAAAGTGACTGTTGGCTGTCTTCTTTTCATGAACATTTAGTGTCGTTGGCTATGCAGCATCAATGTACATAAACAAAATAAAAATTTTCTGTGTCTAGTTCCACTCTGATTCACTTTTCAGCTTAAATTTGCCACCCACTTGCAAGTAATATTCCATAGACTCAGAGCATCTGCAAACAGTTTGGAACTAAGGTTACAGGCTAAGACCAACTCACGTTTATATATCTTGCATCTAGTGCTGTGTATAGCTCATGGTAGATACTTAATTTGGTACTCATTTTTTTTGTTTGTTTGTTTTTGAGGTACACGGGCCTCTCACTGCTGCGGCCTCTCCCATTGCGGAGCAACAGGCTCCGGACACCGGGCTCCGGACGCGCAGGCTCAGCGGCCATGGCTCACGGGCCCAGCCGCTCTGCGCGGCATGTGGGATCTTCCCGGACCGGGGCACGAACCCATGTCCCCTGCATCGGCAGGCAGACTCTCAACCACTGTGCCACCAGGGAAGCCCCTGGTACTCATTTTTAAATCTGTTTTTCCCTAACCAAAAATGCTGAGGAATTCTGAGAATGCAACCCAGGAATTAAAGTTTCAATGTATCTATGATTTTACTTGCCACATCTTGGGCACTTTATTTTTATTTATTTATTTATTCATTTTAAATTTTATTTTATTATTATTTTTTCTTAACATCTTTATTGGAGTATAATTGCTTTACAATGGTGTGTTAGTTTCTGCTTTATAACACAGTGAATCAGATAAACATATACATATGTTTTCATATCTTTTCCCTCTTGCATCTCCCTCCCTCCCACCCTCCCTATACCACCCATCCAGGTAGTCACAAAGCATCGAGCTGAATTCCCTGTGCTATGCAGCTGCTTCCCACTAGCTATCTACCATACGTTTGGTAGTGTATATATGTCCATGCCTCTCTCTCGCTTTGTCACAGCTTACACTTCCCCCTCCCCATATCCTCAAGTCCATTCTATAGTAGGTCTGTGTGTTTATTCCCATCTTACCCCTAGGTTCTTCATGACCTTTTTTTTGCTTAGATTCCATATATATGAGTTAGCATAAAGTATTTGTTTTTCTCTTTCTGACTTACTTCACTCTGTATGACAGACTCTGGGTCCATCCACCTCACTACAAATATCTCAATTTTGTTTATTTTTATGGCTGAGTAATATTCCATTGTATGTATGTGCCACATCATCTTTATACATTCATCCAGTGATGGACACTTAGGTTGCTTCCATGTCCTGGCTATAGTAAATAGAGCTACAGTGAACATTTTGGTACATAAAGTTTTGAATTATGGTTTTCTCAGGGTATATGCCCAGTACTGGGATTGCTGGGTCATATGCTAGTTTTATTTTTAGTTTTTTAAGGAACCTCCATACTGTTCTCCACAGTGGCAGTACCAATTCACATTCCCACCAGCAGTGCAAGAGTGGTTCCTTTTCTCCACACCCTCTCCAGCATTTATTGTTTCTAGAGTTTTTAATGATGGCCATTCCGACCGGTGTGAGATGATATGTCATTGTAGTTTTGATTTGCATTTCTCTAATGATTAATGATGTTGAGCATTCATTCATGTGTTTGTTGCCAATCTGTATATCTTCTTTGGAGAAATGTCTATTTAGGTCTTTTGCCCATTTTTGGATTGGATTGTTTCTATTTTTGTTATTGAGCTGCATGTGCTGCTTATAAATGTTGGAGATTAATCCTTTGTCAGTTGCTTCATTTGCAAATATTTTCTCCCATTCTGAGGGTGTGTTTTGGTCTGGTTTATGATTTCCTTTGCTGTGCAAAAGCTTTTAAGTTTCATTAGGTCCCATTTGTTTACTTTTGTTTTTATTTCCATTTCTCTAGGAGGTGGGTCAAAAAGGATCTTGCTGTGATTTACGTCATAGAGTGTTCTGCCTATGTTTTCCTCTAAGAGTTTGACAGTGCCTGGCCTTACATTTAGGTCTTTAATCCATTTTGAGTTTATTTTTGTGTATGGTGTTAAGAAGTGTTCTAATTTCATACTTTTACATGTACCTGTCCAGTTTTCCCAGCACCACTTTTTGAAGAGGCTGTCTTTTCTCCATTGTATATTCTTGCTTCCTTTATCAAACATGAGGTGACCATATGTGTGGGGTTTATCTCTGGGCTTTCTATCCTGTTCCATTCATCTATATTTCTGTTTTTCTGCAAGTACCATACTGTCTTGATTACTGTAGCTTTCTAGTATAGTCTGAAGTCAGGGAGCCTGATTCCTCCATCTCAATTTTTCTTTCTCAAGATTGCTTTGGCTACTCCGGGTTATTTGTGTTTTCATACAAATTGTTAAATTCTTTGTTCTAGTTCTGTGAAAAATGCCAGTGGTAGTTTGATTGGGATTGCATTGAAGATTGCTTTGGGTAGTAGAGTCATTTTCACAATGTTGATTCTTCCAATCCAAGAACATGGTATATCTCTCCATCTATTTGTATCATCTTTAATTTCTTTCATCAGCGTCTTATAATTTTCTGCATACAGGTCTTTTGTCTCCTTAGGTAGGTTTATTCCTAGATATTTTATTCTTATTGTTGCAATGGTAAATGGGAGTGTTTTCTTAATTTCACTTTCAGATTTTTCTTCATTAGTGTATAGGATTGCCAGAGATTTCTGTGCATTAATTTCGTATGCTGCTACTTTACCAGATTCATTGATTAGCTCTAGTAGTTTTCTGGTAGGATCTTTAGGATTCTCTATGTATAGTATCATGTCATCTGCAAACAGTGACAATTTTACTTCTTCTTTTCCCATTTGGATTCCTTTTATTTCTTTTTCTTCTATGATTGCTGTGGCTATACCTTCTAAAATTATGTTGAATAATAGTGGTGAGAGGGGCCAACCTTGTCTTGTTCCTGATCTTAGTGGAAATGGTTTCAGTTTTTCACCATTGAGGACGATGTTGCCTGTGGGTTTGTCATATATGGCCTTTATTTTGTTGGTGAGAGTTCCTTCTATGCCTACTTTCTGCAGGGTTTTTTTTTTTTATCATAAATGGGTGTTGAATTTTGTCAAAAGCTGTTTCTGCATCTATTGAGATGATCATATGGTTTTTCTCCTTCAATTTGTTAATATGGTGTATCACGTTGATTGATTTGCGTATATTGAAGAATCCTTGCATTCCTGGAATAAACCCCACTTGATCATGGTTTATGATCCTTTTAATGGATTAATCCAAGAAGAAGATTAACAACTGTAAATATTTATGCACCCAACATAGGAGTACCTCAATACATAAGGCAAATACTAACTGACATAAAAGGGGAAATTGACAGTAACACAATCATAGTAGGGGACTTTATCACCCCACTTTCACTAATGGACAGATCATCCAAAATGAAAATAAATAAGGAAACACAAGCTTTAAATGATACATTAAACAAGATGGACTTAATTGATATTTATAGGACACTCCATCCAAAAACAACAGAATACACATTTTTCTCAAGTGCTCATGGAACATTCTCCAGGATAGATCATATGTTGGGTCACAAATCAAGCCTTTGTAAATTTAAGAAAATTGAAATCGTATCAAGTATCTTTTCTGACCACAACACTCTCAGACTAGATATCAATTATAGGAAAAGATCTGTAAAAAATACCAACACACGGAGGCTAAACAATACACTACTTAATAACCAAGTGATCACTGAAGGTATCAACGAGGAAATCAGAAAATACCTAGAAACAAATGAGAATGGAGGCACAACGACCCCAAACCTATGGGATGCAGCAAAAGCAGTTCTAAGAGGGAAGTTTATAGCAATACATCCTACCTTAAGAAACAGGAAACATCTCAAATAAACAACCTAACCTTGCACCTAAAGCAATCAGAGAACGAAGAACAAAAAAAAATCCCCAAAGTTAGCAGAAGGAAAGAAATCATAAAGATTAGATCAGAAATAAATGAAAAAGAAATGAAGGAAACGGTAGCAAAGATTAGTAAAACTAAAAGCTGTTTTTTTGAGAAGATAAACAAAATTGATAAAGCATTAGCCAGACTCATCAAGAAAAAAAGGAGAATACTGAAATCAGTAGAATTAGAAATGAAAAAGGAGAAGTAACAGCTGACACTGCAGAAATAGAAAGGATCATGAGAGATTACTACATGCAACTCTATGCCAATAAAACGGACAACCTGGAAGAAATGGACAAATTCTTAGAAATGCACAACCTGCCGAGACTGAACCAGGAAGAAAGAGAAAATATGAACAGAGCAATCAGAAGCACTGAAATTGAAACTGTGAGGAAAAATCTTCCAACAGACAAAAGCCCAGGACCTGATGGCTTCACAGGCGAATTCTATTAAACATTTAGAGAAGAGCTAACACCTATCCTTCTCAAACTCTTCCAAAATATAGCAGAGGTAGGAACACTCCCAAACTCACTCTACGAGGCCACCATCACCCTGATATCAAAACCAGACAAAGATGTCACAAAGAAAGAAAACTATAGGCCAATATCCCTGATGAACATAATTAGAAAATATTGGGCACTTTAAAAAACATTCCCTAATTTAACAGTGAAGAGATTAAGACTTGTATATATTTAACTGCCTTGCCTAATCAAAGTCACATAGTAGCAAGGCTGTGCTCAGTCCCTGGTCTGTAGGTCTCCACACCCCATGTTCTTTTTAATTTTATTCCATTGTCTATTTTAAGGAGAATAAATATGTTCTGAAATAGTGGGTCAAATATAATAATGAACAGATACTGAGGTACCTCTGTGCATGTGGAGTTTTCTGATTCATGTGACCTCTGCATGTGCTTTCTTTGCTGGTCAGTCAGATATAAGGGACAGAGGCAGGCCTCCCAGTAGACATCAGGCACCTTTACCCATGTTCTCTGTGGAATAGAACAAAGGACTCTTTGAGTCCCTTTTTCTATTTCCAGAATAGAGGATAACTTTTTTATTAGTGTTCCTACCAATATTTGAAGCCACAGGCTCATAGGCCATCAGAAGTTGAAGGGCAATAATAATCGTAATAATGACAACAGTGACGATGATGATGACAACAACAACTGCTAACATTCTCTGAGCACCTCTATGTGCCAGGCACCATTCTCAGCCTTTTAAGTGTATATTTTCCTTTAGTCTTCATCAGTCACATGAAGTAGGGTGTGTTACTGTCTCAACTTCACAAAGACAAGGAGACAGAAAGAAGTTAAGCACTTAGGTTATACAGTTATTTAATATTAGAGCTAGAATCCAAATCCAGGAATATTGGTTTCCAAGTCATACTCTTAACCACTGGGCTCTACTGCAAATATGCTCTATATGCCTTTTTGTTTTAGATGAGTGACTCAGACCTCAGGGTGGGCAAACGATTTGTCTAAAGTCATAATGGAAAAGCCTGGACTAGAAGTCAGTACTCTCTACTTTGTCATCTTGTTCTTAGCAATATTTTTCTTTGAATTTGACTTTCAGTAGCACCCAAGAATCTCCAAATGCTTATTGAATAGTCACTGATTTATGCTTTCAGTTTCTCCATATGGTCAAGCGAGGACACATACCAGCTTATTGGTTTCCCATGTAGGGAACCTGAGTCTAGAATGGGCTTAACATCCTATCTAGTCTACAGCATGTGCTTTTATGTTTGTTGCCCATTTGCTTGCTCTCCTTCCTTCTGGCTTCAGGATTCAGCTGTGTAGCTGTTTTTACAAAGATTTCTGGATTTTCTAGCCCCATAAGGTATATCCAAATGGTTGGATGTTTCTTAGAAAATGGTAAACTTGAAAGAATCCAGTGCCCAAAGCCAAGTCCTGGTTTTCACTTGATTCTGGCTTAAAGATCATTTGGGGGCTTTTTTGATTTTTTGTTACTTAAGGGTTTAGTCTTATTTGAATATTATAATTTGAGTCTGTGAGGAAAAAATTGGCATGGGTCGATAGGTGGTCACAATGCTTATAAGCTCCTGAGGACACCTAGAATTCAGAATTCCTTTTCATTAACTGATGACGATGCTAGCTAATATCCCTAGTTCAGTAGCAAATCCTGTAAAGTGTAATTGTGCCCAAACAGCTAAAGAGCAGAAAAAAGAACGATTCATTTTAGTTAATGAATTGCTTTTTCTTTTTTTTTTTCTTTCCTTTTTTAAGGAGTACTTTAATGGAATAAGAGACAGAAGGACAGGTAGAACAGGAGTCTCAATATCGGAACTGTAAAGGACCTCACAGCTTGTCTGCTTCAACATTTTTATGGATAAAGAAACTGAGGCACAGTGACTTTTTCCACTGAACTCTCTTGTAATTGCTCTTATCATTTCATGACTCTGAGAGAGGTCTCATCTTAACATAGAAGGAGTGAGAGTAACAAGCATCTCATAATGGCACAACTACACAGAGAATGGAAGAGACCTTATACCTGCAATAATATGGTCAATCCCCAAATTCCAGTTTGGTTTTGAAGGTCTAAAAAGAACATAGTATACCAAATTGGGGTATCTCTGGGTATGTAGTTATAGTTACTGCAAGTAAATAAAATAAAATTGGATTTGATGTCATCTGCCATGCAGAAGAGGCCTTATAGTGTATTAGTCAAGAAAGAACATGGCTGCTGGACCAAAATTCCTAAATTCAAATCCTGGCTCTATATTTACCCACTGTGTGAACTTAGGTAACCTCTCTGTGCCTCAGTTTCCCCTTCTATAAAACAGGGATTACTATAGTTCCTGCTTTATAGCCTTCCTGTGTAGATTAAATGAATTAATACCTATAAAGTACTTAGAAAAGAACCTGGCATCTGGTGAACATTCAATAACTATTAGTTGTCATTGTTATTCATAAGATTACTTAAATCAGCCAAAAGGCCTCCTCCACGTGGCTGAGCCATTGTGCATGTTGTTGACTTATTTCCAACTGAAATGCTCCTTGGACATCCTAGGTGGTAGAAGTAGCAAGTCATTTTCCTGATAGATGAACGTGCCCATAATGAACATGCTCAGAACCCCTAGAGCCCAGACCAAATGGCTGGCTTCCAAGAGAGAGAGGCAGGGCAAGCCTCAGTTTGGCTCAAGCACATTGAGGCCAGTTTAAGTGTGTATTATGGTGAGGTGTCAGTATCTGCCTTCCTATTTCCTTGTCCAACTCTGGCATGAGGCCACCAAGATACCACCTCCACCAGTGTCTCCAAAGTTACTGTTCTCTAAGTTCCATTGTTTTTCTGAGTAAAAAAGATTATGAGAAGTTGGAAATCTATATGCCTGTGCCTGCTCAGTCTGATATCTCCCAGGGCTGAGAAGGACCCTAGATCACAAGACTCCATTCTCTCAGGTGACTTTTCTGCTCTCAACTTGTCATTTTTTCCCTTAGGCCAGGAACCATCACTCTGCAAGCCCTTTCAGAAGCTAACAGAAGACTATGGATGGAGGCCATGGATGGGAAAGAACCTGTAAGTTATCCTGGGGAAAACTCAGCAACATAATCCAGTATATGAGTCGCTCTAGTGGTAGCAGTGGGTCCAGGATAATTAAATGGTGATAGATCTTTGATACTCAAAATTTTAGAGGTAGAAGGAATTGTTGAATTGACATTTCTTGTTTAACAAGTTAGGCAACTTGAGTTCCAGAAAGGGTGAAAGACTTCTCTAGGATCACTCTCAGAAAGGCATCACAATGGGCCTAGAATCCAGGTCTCTCAGCTTCCTGCCCTGGTCTTAGATTATGCAGCCATGCCCACAAAATCTTCTTAAGAAACAAAATTAAGCCTTTTGCAGTTTATAATATTAATATGTGTTCCTATATAAGGATGGAAAGTAATTTCCATGGTTGTGAACAAGCATTTATTAAGATTTTATTGAAAATGGTTTTGCTGCCCCTCCCTTACATCCCCAAGTCAGCTTGTTCTCTTTAAGGGCAGGAGATGGCATTGCCATCCTATATCTCAGGATGCACCACTCCATTTAGAATACTGTTACATATGATGACAAGTAATACTTTTAAAGGCTAGTGATTTTCATAGAAAGATCAATATGAGCAGTCAGAGGTCACTGAAAAGCATTTTCTCTCTTCAGTATCTTCTGCGTAGGTTTCTTCTCGTGGCATATGAAATAATATCAGCTTCCTAGTGTTGGAATCCCAAAAGGTTAGATTTGGATCTGGTTCTGCCATTCAATGATTGTGTGACCTTGAGATAGTTATTTAATCTCTGAGACTGTTCTCTTCTCTTAAGTAAAATGGCTTTAATAATTTCTGTTCTACCTACCTCACAGAGTTGATTTGAAAAATCAATTGAAAGCCAGGTTGTCAACCATAATGTACTGTATTAGTTTGAGGTGCTTCTGACTGGTCTGTAGTTTGGGTACAAACCTACTGAAATTCAACAGTGTTTGGATACAGTCCAATCTTCTTGGTTTATGCAAGGCAAAAACTTGCTAAGAGGGGAAATATATTACAGGGCTTTCTTTCTGTGTGCTTTCAGTGCCTTGGAGACTAAAGAGGAGTGCCCTGATGCCAGATTGCATTAATAGCAACCAAGATGGTAGCAGGAGAGAAGTGGTGTTGTGAGGACTGTCATCCAGAAAATAGGCCAGGGCCTTCCTCCCCTTCCTCCCCTCCCAGAAACCTGGAGCTTAACTATTACATGCCTGTGATATTTCTTTAGGAGGATAGTAGGAAGCTCCACAAGGAATTTTATTCTTTTTTTGTTTTTGTTCATATTTCTTCTTACTTTTTAAAATTGAAGTATAGTTAATTTGCAATATTGTAAGGCATTTTACTTTTAATTCCCTCTCCTGAAATTGCTCTCCCTTTAGGGTTTTAAAAATCAAAGGATACAGATGGCTTTTTGTGGAGAATGATGTCAGAACGTGGGCCCACTGCATGTGGATCCTTACCAACTTGATTATGAGAGACGTTTCACAAATATCTTTTTTATAGCAGTGGTGAAAAGGGGCTGGCCAAGCACAGAAACCTCTCTCACTGAAATATCCATTGGCATACACACATAGGGAGGAAATTTTCTTTTAAAAGTAGAGCTTGTTAAAGCAAACTATACAGATGGCATATAGAGGACTTATTTCCTGCAGCCTCACATTACTAATGTTGTCACTGCTTTATTAACCCCCCCAATTCACTGATCTTATACATAGTATGCTTGCATTTGCTTCAAGTGTCAAAGAAGATCAGGACTTGAAGGAACATCTACTCCAGCCCTGATCATTTTAGAGATATGAATTTTGAAGTCTAGAGAATGAAGAGGACACACCTATGTTTCATAATGAGGTAGAGGTAGAGCCAAGATTAGACTTCAAGAGTCAAGGATCTCTTCTTTGGTCTCTCACATAACTATCACAATGCATACTTCAAGATGGCTCAGAGAAATCTTCGTGAATGCATGGATCTCTTTCAGATGGGCACTTGCCTTTCTACAGGGAAACGCCCATTAATGTCTCTGGGTGGGGAGGTTGGTATTAGGAATATTTAAATTTTACCATCAATGCCAATTACCCAGGTATCCATGAGAAAATCACTTTCTTTCTCTCATGCTCTCTTGCTCCATCAGAAAAATTCTCTAAGCTTTACATAAGTAAATGTCTAAGATGAGTAGGCTACAACTGCAGTGAACTGTATGAAATCCAGGGTAATCTTCAGGGATTGTTAATCCAACTGTTCCTAGGGCCCTAGGCAAAGATGATTCTGTTTAGCCCACTTTCTTTCTTGTAAAAGCCTTAAAGTCGCTAATGGTTTTGATGGCTTATTTGGGGAAAGATATTTAGTATTTGCTGTACTTACCTATAGTGATTCACAATAACCATTGCTCTTTCTGTCTCTTTTTTTGTAGATCTATCACAGCCCTATAACGAAACAGGAAGAAAGTGAGTCAAATTTCTGATCTACTGATATTATGAACTGTTAGCTGTCCTAATCACAGTAAATGTTATCATCAATGATATGTAATATTGATGCAAGTGTATTTGTGGATACCTCTGCATGGAATGAAATTCAGGCCTATTTTTTTTAAAAGGTGTTTATTGATTGAATTAAGGAAGTCACTTTATCTTAGCATGGGTGGGGTAGTAGTAGTAATATAAAGAAACACATTATACCCTTCTTTTTCTAGACACATGATAGAAATTGTGTGCATTTTCAGCCTCACATTTCACATTTGATGTAGCTCATGCCTAAAGCAGACATAATGCAGAGGGTCAAGTAAAAGTATTTTGTGTTATAAGAGTAAAATCTCTAACCACCCTCTCCCCTGAATGAGGAATCTTTCCACCTAAAGCTGATTGAAGAAGAGCAACCAAACCCCTAGATCTCTCACTGCAGTCTCATAGCAAGATCATTGAATGCTTCGTAGGTGAGGCTTATTCCAGCAGAATCTAACTCTGCTTTCTTTTGCTTGAAACAGTGGAGCTGAACGAAGTGGGGTTCAAGTTTGTTAGGAAGTGCATCAATGTCATTGAAACCAAAGGTAAGATATGAACCATAGGCTTAGCAGTGTTTGAATCTGGTCATTCTTTTTTTTTGAACATGGTTTTATTATTTATTTATTTAATTTTTATTGACACACTGTTGATGTACAATATTATATGTTACACGTATACAACATAGTGATTCACAATTTTTAAAGGTTATACTCCATTTATAGTTATTATAAAATATTGGCTATATTCCCTGTGTTGTACAACATATTCTTGTAGCTTATTTATTTTATACATAATAGTTTGTACCTCTTAATTCCCACCCCTATTTCACCCCTCCCCTCCCCCCAACCCCACTGGTAACCACTAGTTTGTTCTCTATATCTGTGAGTCTGTTTCTTTTTTGTTATGTTCACCAGTTTTATTTTATCTTTTAGATTCTACCTGTAAGTGATATCATACAGTATTTGTCTTTGTCTGATTTATTTCACTTAGCATAATACCCTCCAGGTCCATCCACGTTGCTGAAAATGGCAAAATCTGGTCATTCTGAATTTTTCCTGGGCAATTTTTCTAAAGGAACAATGATATCATCTATTAGTCAGGACCCGTTTTAGGAAAGGACACTGTTTATAAACCTTGAGTACTAGACACAATGTTTAAATTTCCTCAAATTTCAAATCAGTGGTATTTAACCATGTTTGGATAATTTGTGGTTTCCTGCCTTTAAAGATATAGAGCTTCAAATGGCTTATAAAATATTCTCAAATACTATCTGGCACTCTTCAAACAGTGTTATGATAGTTCCATCCTAAATAAACAAGAGTTCAATTTCTGCCACAATACATATTGATTTAAAAATTTGGGGGGCAAAGTTAAATTCAGGCAAATGTGGCATCAGCATTCTTCGAGGTTGACGGTACTCTCTTGTTTCTCTCTGAGAATATTTTGAATGTAGGCAAATGTAGTTTATGAGCCAGGCCTCTTTTTAAGTTGCTTCAATCTTTCTCCATGCAAAAAATGGCTGTTTGCTTCATATCTGCCACACTCTAGGCCTGTCTTACTTTATACCACTGCTCAGGGGCAATCTGAAGGTTCATATTTCCTCCTTTATCAACTAAACCCTAGTTCCTTGACAAGATGGTAACACCATTCTCAGACATCCGCTGCTACTCACCTGAGCATTTTCTTCTGTTTACTATAGAGTGTGTTCTTTTCTGTTCAGGTTAATAAGGGCTTGGTACAATCCAAATGAAAGTATGAAAAGAATAATTTGCAGAGATGTTTCAGGACTGTTCCCCTATTGCAGCGGAGGGCTGGAGAGATTGGAAAGAGTAGGGAGACCCTTTCCTGTTTGAACTGACTCCATTGTGTAAGTACCTATTTTCTCTACCCTGAGGGAGATGAAAGCTCTAGTTATATAAATAAAACTGACTTGGTTTTCTTTCCCTGGGGATCAAGACAGAGGGATTGTACCGTACCGTGGGCAGCAATATTCAGGTTCAGAAGTTGCTGAATGCCTTTTTTGGTAACAATTTTTATTTCATAATTCTTTTTGGGAGTTGTCTGTGTATTAGGAAGAAATGTGGCTATAAGAGAAAGGAGACATTGCTAAAGAAGGTTGTAGAATATATATATATATATATATATATATATATATATATGTATATATATATTTTTTTTCTTTTTGTGATATGTGGGCCTCTCACTGTTGTGGCCTCTCCCTTTGCTGAGCACAGGCTCCAGATGCGCAGGCTCAGGGGCCATGGCTCATGGGCCCAGCCGCTCCGCGGCATGTGGGATCCTCCCGGTCCGGGGCACGAACCCGCGTCCCCTGCATCGGCAGGCGGACTCTCAACCACTGCGCCACCAGGGAAGCCCTGTAGAATATATTTTTAAAAATATTTTCAAACATAAAAAAATGTACACTTATTTGCCTATCCTGAGTCAGAGACCATCTTGCCTTGAAACATCTTATTCACTCCTCAAACCCTTTGCAATCTGGATTCTACCCCAACCTCTCCATTGGAACTACTCTGGCCAGGCTTAGAAGGCACCTTCTTGTGAAATCCAGTGGACTCTTTTCAGTCTCTATTTTGCTTGATATCCTTGTTGACCACTCTCTCTTTTTCAAAACTTTCTCCCTACATGACTTCTGTGACTCAATGGTCTCTTGATTCTTCTAACATCTTGTATTATTCCTTTCAAGTGACTCTTGTCAGGTCCTTTTTCTTTTTCTTACCTTTTAAATCCTGTCAGAGTATTTCCCAGCATGCTATCTTTGCCCCCCTTCATTTCTTCCTCTACATGTTTTCTTTTTTTTTTTTCTAACAACTTTATTGGGGTATAATTGCTTTAAAATGGTGTGTTAGTTTCTGCTTTATAACAGAGTGAATCAGTTATACATATACATATGTTCCCATATCTCTTCCCTCTTTGTCTCCCTCCCTCCCACCCTCCCTATCCCACCCCTCCAGACAGCCACAAAGAACCGAGCCGGTTTCCCTGTGCCATGCGGCTGCTTCCCACTGGCTATCTACCTTACGTTTGTTAGTATATATATGTCCATGTCTCTCTCTCACCCTATCACAACTCACCCTTCCCCCGCCCCATATCCTCAAATCTGTTCTCCAATAGGTCTGTGTCTTTATTCCTGTTTTACCCCTAGGTTCTTCATAACATATTTTTTCTTAAATTCCATATATATGTGTTAGCATACGGTATTTGTCCTTCTCCTTTCTGACTTACTTCACTCTGTATGACAGACTCTAGATCTATCCACCTCATTACAAATAGCTCAATTTCGTTTCTTTTTATGGCTGAGTAATATTCCATTGTATATATGTGCCACATCTTCTTTATCCATTCATCCGACGACGGGCACTTAGGTTGTTTCCATCTCCGGGCTATTGTAAATAGAGCTGCAATGAACATTTTGGTACATGACTCTTTCTGAATTCTGGTTTCCTCAGGGTATATACCTAGTAGTGGGATTGCTGGGTCATATGGTAGTTCTATTTGTAGTTTTTTAAGGAACCTCCATACTGTTCTCCATAGTGGCTGAACCAATTCACATTCCCACCAGCAGTGCAAGAGTGTTCCCTTTTCTCCACACCCTCTCCAGCATTTATTGTTTCTAGATTTTTTGATGATGGCCATTCTGACTGGTGTGAGATGATATCTCATTGTAGTTTTGATTTGCATTTCTCTAATGATTAATGATGTTGAGCATTCTTTCATGTGTTTGTTGGCAGTCTGTATATCTTCTTTGGAGAAATGTCTATTTAGGTCTTCTGCCCATTTTTGGATTGGGTTGTTTATTTTTTTGTTATTGAGCTGCATGAGCTGCCTGTAAATTTTAGAGATTAATCCTTTGTCAGTTGATTCATTTGCAAATATTTTCTCCCATTCTGAGGGCTGTCTTTTGGTCTTGTTTATGGTTTCCTTTGCTGTGCAAAAGCTTTGAAGTTTCATTAGGTCCCATTTGTTTATTTTTGTTTTTATCTCCATTACTCTAGGAGATGGGTCAAGAAGGATCTTGCTGTGATTTATGTCATAGAGTGTTCTGCCTATGTTTTCCTCTAAGAGTTTGATAGTTTCTGGCCTTACATTTAGGTCTTTAATCCATTTTGAGCTTATTTTTGTGTATGGTGTTAGGGAGTGATCTAATCTCATACTTTTACATGTACCTATCCAATTTTCCCAGCACCACTTATTGAAGAGGCTGTCCTTTCTCCACTGTATATTCCTGCCACCTTTATCAAAGATAAGGTGACCATATGTGCATGGGTTTATCTCTGGGCTTTCTATCCTATTCCATTGATCTATCTTTCTGTTTTTGTGCCAGTACCATACTGTCTTGATTACTGTAGCTTTGTAGTATAGTCTGAAGTCAGGCAGCCTGATTCCTCCAGCTCCATTTTTTGTTCTCAAGATTGCTTTGGCTATTCGGGGTCTTTTGTGTTTCCATACAAATTGTGAAATTTTTTGTTCTAGTTCTGTGAAAAATGCCAGTGGTAGTTTGATAGGGATTGCATTGAATCTATAGATTGCTTTGGGAAGTAGAGTCATTTTCACAATGTTGATTCTTCCAATCCAAGAACATGGTATATCTCTCCATCTGTTTGTATCATCTTTAATTTCTTTCATCAGTGTCTTATAATTTTCTGCATACAGGTCTTTTGTCTCCTTAGGTAGGTTTATTCCTCGATATTTTGTTCATTTTGTTGCAATGGTAAATGGGAGGGTTTTCTTGATTTCACTTTCAGATTTTTCATCATTAGTGTATAGGAATGCCAGAGATTTCTGTGCATTAATTTTGTATCCTGCTACTTTACCAAATTCATTGATTAGCTCTAGTAGTTTTCTGGTAGCATCTTTAGGATTCTCTATGTATAGTATCATGTCATCTGCAAACAGTGACAGCTTTACTTCTTCTTTTCCGATTTGGATTCCTTTTATTTCCTTTTCTTCTCTGATTGCTGTGGCTAAAACTTCCAAAACTATGTTGAATAAGAGTGGTGAGAGTGGGCAACCTTGTCTTGTTCCTGACCTTAGTGGAAATGCTTTCAGTTTTTCGCCATTGAGGATGATGTTGGCTGTGGGCTTGTCATATACGGCCTTTATTATATTGAGGAAAGTTCCCTCTACACCTACTTTCTGCAGGGTTTTTATCATAAATGGGTGTTGAATTTTGTCAAAAGCTTTCTCTGCATCTATTGAGATGATCATATGGTTTTTCTCCTTCAATTTGTTAATATGGTTAATCACATTGATAGCTTTGCGTATATTGAAGAATCCTTGCGTTCCTGGAATAAACCCCACTTGATCATGGTGTATGATCCTTTTAATGTTCTGTTGGATTCTGTTTGCTAGTATTTTGTTGAGGATTTTTGCATCTATGTTCATCAGTGATATTGGCCTGTAGTTTTCTTTCTTTGTGACATCCTTGTCTGGTTTTGGTATCAAGGTGATGGTGGCCTCGTAGAATGAGTTGAGGAGTGTTCCTCCCTCTGCTATGCTTTGGAAGAGTTTGAGAAGGGTAGGTGTTAACTCTTCTCTAAATGTTTGATAGAATTCGCCTGTGAAGCCATCTGGTCCTGGGCTTTTTTTTGTTGGAAGATTTTTCATCACAGTTTCAATTTCAGTGTTTGTGATTGGTCTGTTCATATTTTCTATTTCTTCCTGATTCAGTCTTGGCAGTTTGTGCATTTCTAAGAATTTGTCCATTTCTTCCAGATTGTCCATTTTATTGGCATAGAGTTGCTTGTAGTAATCCCTCATGATTTTTTTTATTTCTGCAGTGTCAGTTGTTACTTCTCCTTTTTCATTTCTGATTCTATTGATTTGAGTCTTCTCCCTTTTTTTCTTGATGAGTCTGGCTAATGGTTTATCTATTTTGTTTATCTTCTCAAAGAACCAGCTTTTAGTTTTATTGATCTTTGCTATTGTTTCCTTCATTTCTTTTTCATTTATTTCTGATCTGATTTTTATGATTTCTTTCCTTCTGCTAACTCTGGGGTTTTTTTGTCCTTCTTTGTGTAATTGCTTGAGGTGCAAGGTTAGGTTGTTTATTCGAGATGTTTCCTGCTTCTTAAGGTGGGCTTGTATTGCTATAAACTTCCCTCTTAGAACTGCTTTTGCTGCATCCCATAGGTTTGGGGTCGCTGTATCTCCATTGTCATTTGTTTCTAGGTATTTTTTAATTTCCTCTTTGATTTTTTCAGTGATCACTTCGTTATTAAGTAGTGTATTGTTTAGCCTCCATGTGTTTGTATTTTTTACAGATCTTTTCCTATAATGGATATCTAGTCTCATGGCGTTATGGTCGGAAAAGATACTTGATACAATTTCAATTTTCTTAAATTTACCAAGGCTTGATTTGTGACCCAAGATATGATCTATCCTGGAGAATGTTCCATGAGCACTTGAGAAAAATGTGTATTCTGTTGTTTTTGGATGGAGTGTCCTATAAATATCAATTAAGTCCATCTTGTTTAATGTATCGTTTAAAGCTTGTGTTTCCTTATTTATTTTTATTTTGGATTATCTGTCCATTAGTGAAAGTGGGGTGTTGAAGTCCCCTACTATGAATGTGTTATTGCTGATTTCCCCTTTTATGGCTGCTTGTTTTTGCCTTATGTATTGAGGTGGTCCTATGTTTGGTGCATAGATATTTACAATTGTTATATCTTCTTCTTGGATCGATCCCTTAATCATTATGTAGTGTCCTTCTTTGTCTCTTCTGATAGTCCTTATTTTAAAGTCTATTTTGTCTGATATGAGAATTGCTACTCCAGCTTTCTTTTGGTTTCCATTTGCATGGAATATCTTTTTCCATCCCCTTACTTTCAGTCTGTATGTGTCTCTAGGTCTGAAGTGGGTCTCTTGTAGACAGCATATATATGGGTCTTGTTTTTGTATCCATTCAGCCAATCTGTGTCTTTTGGTGGGAGCATTTAGTCCATTTACATTTAAGGTAATTATCGATATGTATGTTCCTATTCCCATTTTCTAAATTGTTTTGGG